TCTTCTCCTTGGAAGTCGACGATATTCTCCGGCGGTTTGATCCCAACTGATTGTAGAAGAGCAGAATATGAAAGCTGATCGGAATGTCCGACACGCAAATAACATTCCAAAACGAAAATATTTACATACGTGTGCATGTTTCAAATTTTCCTATAATACGTTTTCAAGTATCTTTAATTTTAAAATATGTCGGATAACTAAGTAACAGTATAATGGTATATTAGCGGTTAAACAGATAAAACATTCCTTGTTTTTCTGCCAATATAAACTTATGAGAATTATATAAGACATTTTTCTGTGTATGGTGGTTTTACTGTATGTACATGCATATAAGTACATGCGCGCATACACACGTGCGCGCGCATTTAATATACAAGGAGCCTTCGCAATCGCGCGTGATGTACCAAGCCTGAGCACGTGAATTTCAGATGCTAATTGGCTAAACTTTAATTTTTATAATTTGAAATGTGTTATAGTCTTGACATTTTCGTATAAGAGTTTTTGTTTTAAAATGCTCCCAAGCATTTGTCAGCGAAAAGACAGTTTTTATAGATAATGTATCTTTTATTTGAGGAATTATTAAATGTTTATTAAATTATTTGTTATTATTGGACATATTTTTATTCCTTATACATATAAAGCTATTTTAATACCTTTTTAGAAAGAATGATTGTTATATACTGTAATACCTGTTTTAATAATTTGCAAAATATTATATAAGCAATATTAGTCATTTCTAATCTATTCTAAACAGAATTCGTTGATCTAAAGTAATCAATTTAATCAAAAAATTCTATCGAAAGTACTAAAAAATACATAAAGAATCACAGTTAATAATTAATTTTGACAGAAGGGATCTACAAGTAATATTATAAAAGATAAATCAAATCTTTTCATAGATATGTATATAGATAATTCCACTGACGAATACGTAGGAAATTTGAATTATCGTATGTATAGACATAAAAAACATAATATCAAAATTTATTTGTCATTTATTCATCGATAGATTACATGGAAATACAATAATTACCATTTTTTTCATCGCTTAATAGTAATATTAATAAAATATATAATGTTGTTGCTAAAGTAAACAAGAAATAATTGACGATTGAAAAGCTAATACAAATGGTAAAAATTTTGTGTGACATGAACCATTCGATAAAAAAAATACTATAACTATTGTACATAATAAATTATCTAAAACTAAAGCAAAATCTGTATTCAGTGTCATTATCCTGTGTATATAAAGAAAAATTAAATGTTATTATAGCAATATTATTTTATTTTTAGCAATATTGTTATAAAGAGAAAAACGTAATAAAAAAAGCATTAAATACAGTAAATTATTACAAATAATTAAACCTTCACGTACTCCATGGAATGATCTCGCCAAGACATCCAATATAATATGTTGTTTCATGCACCTATTTAAGAGCAGCGATTGCTGCCGAGCTAACACAATCTTTAAAAGCTATTATATTTAAAATAAATTGTGCGTATTTATTAAAATAATTAAGCATTAAAACAGCTCAAACAATGAAAATTTAAATTTAAGACTCGATAAAGGGAAATAAGCCATACTTATTAATATAATTATGTCATAACGCACAAAGCAGCTTTATAAATAACGTCTTCAAATCGTACAAAGATTTCAATTGAAGATATAAAAAAAGACTTATTTTTTATAAAAAATTATTTTATATAATATGTATATCGTAGAAAATAAAAATTATGTAAAAATATACTATATGATAAAATTTTAAAAAAATATTTGTAACTTTGTTACTCTGTATTTTTCAAGCAAATAAGTTTTATGCAATATAATTATTTGTAAAATTTAATGGCAAGTCATAAATTTCAAAAAATATTACATTTTAGGTAAATGTTTCTAGATCACGAAAATAGTTAACATAAATATCTATATACTTCACCTTTAGACATCATATACAACATATTACTATTAAAAGAAAATTATATTTATATAGGGTGACTTCGGTATATGCGCCGCGCGAGAATTTATGTCGCAGAAGCAAAAGAAATAGAAGAAATGAAAGTAATTTTCTCGCAATCACTCTATTACATACCTTTATGTTATATTAGTATTGTGGTATGATTTCAGTTTTTTACTGTTAATATTTATAAAATTACTGTATGTTAAATTGATTTATCACTGTAATAAGTAGCGCAACCATAAGTTATAATCTAAATAAAATAATTATTGTAGGAAATATAAAAGGCTTCGTGGTTATTTTGTGGTAGTAAGTGTAGAGGAATTCTAAACGATAAAGTATAGCAAAATACAAGTGCTCTTTAGATTATTTGTGTATTTTTTGAATTATTCATTTTACCCGTGAGCCGTATAACTCACCCATATTTTTATGCGACAAAAATGCAAGGGTTAAACTTTTTTTTTTAATATAAGAAATAAATATTTTGGATTCCTAATATTTTTTTTCGTAGTAGTAGACTGTCTAAACTTTTTACTGGTATCGTTCATTTACCTTAACCAATTAATACCTGATAAATTAAGTTTTTAATAGGTGCGGCGTATTTACCGGAATAACTCTATGTAAACGTACAGGTGCTATCTCATAAATTATAAGTTTATTAATTATTATTTTATTTGTCTTGTTATGATCTTTTAATTAATTTAGAATCGTAATGTAGAATCAGTTAACTGCATTGTTGGATTTACTCTAATATAATATAAATGTTGTATGACATTCTGTAGAATTATCATTTCCTGATGCGTTAGTCACGTTTAGATACGGAATCTGTTATCGCAAATTTATAAGAAGGAAGTTGAATTCCTTTCCACCAGTTATTGCCTGTCATCCAACAGTCTGAATAGTGTAAAACGGACACACAGTACCAAACGTATCGATAAAAATTTAATTCTTTTATCTTATCATTTAAATCAAACTGAATTGTGAATGAATGCACGTGTACCTTTTTTTGCTGCAAATAGCAAAAGACCAGCACAGTTTAATGCGGACAGTTCAACCAGGCCGAAGACTTGGGCATTGTTTTCTGCACTATTTAAAACAGTGATTTATTCGAGGATTTCATTTATATATGCTCGATGGATAAAACTCTTATCTCATTAGATTCAACTTGGCATAAATTTTTTAAAAGTGACACAATATGAAGTAACCTAATTAATTAAATACATAACATTAATTTTGTTATGTTATTTTACTTACTTTTATTCTGATAATCGTTAATTTTACAAACAGCACGAGTATTTTTGTTAAAAAAAACGATGAATGCCCTGATGTTCTTTATCTTCGTCAGTCAGATTCTATATATTTTTGGAAAAGTAATCCTATTGCGCGGATCCTTATTATCTAATGGTTCAAATAGACCTGCTAAAGTAAAATTGATATGTCTCTCGGAAGATGATGGCGGAGCCCTTGTGTGGAACAACAATTTAATCTGGAAATCTTATTCTCCTGAAGAAAACAATTTGCGTAAGTTATTAATCAAAACTGCATTTTTATAACTTGCAAAGCAAAATATACCTGAAAGCTTCACAGAGAATTATTTTCTTTACTTTTACATACATATATACTAAAATTTGTATCAAAATTTAGTTAATTATGTTTTAAACAAAAACTCATTCATAAACCATTTAATATTTTTACATTTATTTGGGTAACGTATTTAGTATAGATGCGTGCATTATTTCAGAATTTCACAATTTAAGTAAACTCAACAATAATGAGATCAATTGTAAAATGAACGAAAGCTGCTTGGAGTCATGGAATAAACAGAACTGGACTCTTACAAATTCTTTAAAAACACCTATGGGTCCGGTATTTGATCAGCGATGGGAAAGTAAAAATATTGTGCTTAGAAGATTGTGATATACGTATAATACAATATGAAATGTTACAAGTACAATGTATATCTTTCATGACACCTTTCAATAACACGTATATAAAATTTTCAGATTTTAAACAATATAATAATCTTCAAGATACTTATGATTATGTAGATTTTAATCTTAGTACCGAAGTAAAGCTACCTTTTTCGGTTCGTGTTTCCCATAACGCACAAATATTAATTTGCAACAGTAAGAAGTTTGCCAGAGATTCTTGCTATTGGATCGGAAGAGCACACGTCTGAAC